CCGTCAGTAATGGCGCGAAATTGAGTATAAATAATGATTGGAACTTGCTAGATTGGTGGTATAGTTGGTTTGATTGTGTTTTGCGTTGTGTGTAGTGTGTGTGTGTTGTGTGTGTTTTTTGTGTTGTGTTTTGTGCGTGTTTGTGTGTTGTGATGTGTGTGTGTGTGTTTTTTTTTGTGTTGTGTAGTGTGTGTGTATATATGTGTGTTTTGTGTGTGTGTGTGTGTGGCGCGCGCGCATGCTTGTCTGCGTGGATGCATTCAAATCTGAAAATATGAAACACAAACAAAAAAAAAGACAAAAAAAAAATAAAAAAGAAAAATGATACGCCTCTCACATAAAATAATCCTCATAACTAATCCATCGCGATCAAACAAAGAAAATGGGAACAAAAGGACACACTTTTTTAAATATGCAAAGAGTGTTAACAAGCGCACAGAGTCGAAGCTCCGAAAACAACGGACAAGTTTCGGGTCGAACTTTGAAGCTTCGGAAGATTTGAAGAGCGTTTCGAACAGGGGGAGAGGGGGGGGGTTAACGAGGCCGAAATGGAGGAAGGAGGAGAGAAGGATTAGAGACAAGGAGAAGGGGAGGGGAGAAGGAGGGGAAATAAGAAGAGAGGAGAAGTATAAGGGGAAGAGGAGGACAGGTAGGTGGAGGAGAAGAAGAGGAGAAATATGAAAGGGGGAGAAGAAGGAGAAGAGGAACATGACATTGAGAGAAGGCGAGGGGAAAGAGAGAGAAAAAGAAAAAGATAAGGAGAAGAGGAGGAGAGGGTACAGTTGGAGAGGAAGAGGAAAAGACTATGAGAAAAGAAGAAAGAGAGTGTAAGGAAGAGTCAAGAAGAGAATATGGAGGTGAAATATATGAGAGAGAGAGAGAGAGACGAGAAGACTAGTGTACGTGTCTAATGAGAGACGAAAGGGAGAGAGGGTGGAGAAGGAAAAAAACAAGAATGACGAAAGAGGAGAGAATTAAGGAGAACAGGGATTGGAAACAGAGGAAGAAGGACAGAGAGAAAAGTAGAAACAATAACCAAAGTGAGAAAACAGAGAATAAGGTCGAGACTGGATGAAAATGGGAAGGGAAGGAATCATGAATAAAGATGAAGCAAATGCCGAACAGAAAGAGGAAGAGAAGAGGCAAGCGTGAGAAAGAGAATGAGAGGGAGAACGACAAAGGAGGAATGAATAAATAAGAGAGAATAAACAGGGGGAAACAATGATAAAGGGAAATCAAATGAAACAAGTGACAAAGAAATCAGTAAATGAAGGGAAGTGAGAGAGAAAACTAATAAACTACTGAATAAAAGAGAAATAAGAGGGGAACATGGCAATTGAAAAAAAGAATTTTAAGAAAATGAAAATGAAACGCGAAAAACGAAAAATAACACAAAAATTCAAAGAAAGGGAAAACGGAAGAAAGAGAGAGAGAGAGAGAGAGGGAGAGAGAGAGAGAGAGAGAGAGAGAAGATGGAGAGAGAGAGAGAGAGAGAGAGACAGAGAAGAGAGAAAGAGAAAGTAAAGAGAAATAGGGAGAGAGAGATAAAGAAAGAAAAGAAAGAAAGATATTAGAAGAGAAAGAAAGAAAAATAGGGAGAAGAGATATAAGAAAGAAAGAAAGTCGAGAGGGGAGCGTGGAGAGAGAACAAGGGGAAAAGGGGGAAGTGTGAGTCTAGTAAATAATGCAGTGTGAAACAATGAAAAGAGAGAGAGGGAGACGAGAGGGGGGGGGGGAGAAGCAGCTCACGAGAAAGGTCGCAGAGGCAGAAAGAGATGGAGAGAGAAGAAAATGTGATAAATGGTTCAAGGTAACAGCCCCGAGAAATGGTAGGAAATGAGACAGAGCATTAACAAGAAGGAGAAAAATTAAAAAAAATCCGAAACGAAAATAAATAATAATATATAAAGCAGAAAATTAATAACCCTTCAGCCGATTTTGTTAAGCAAATAAATGTTCGAGTAAAAAAAAGAGAAAGAGAAAAATAGAGAGAACTGGAGAGATGGGGAGAACGAATCGTTAATACACTTTTTGAAAACGTGGAAGGCGTGATGCACTGAAGATACAACATAAAATACCTCTTAGTTGAAGCAATCACGATGAAAGCGACGTCGTTGGCCCCAATTATCGAGGGAAATGGAAATAAGAACGAAAAATTGTAGTAAATAAGAGACAGCGGAAAATAGGAAAATAGGAAAAATGAAAAGAAAAGAAAGAGAGCGAAGAAGGGAGAGAAGAGAGAGAGGGAAGATCGATTGGATAGATATGAAAGATAGATAGATAGGATAGAATGAGAGAGAGAGAGAGAGAGAACAGAGACAAGAGAGACAGAGACAGAGAAAGAAAGAGAAAGAGAGACGCCAAATAACCACAAAGACAGAAACACGCTGATAAACCAAAACGAAACGTAGAAACAGAACGAAAGACAACAACGTAAAGAAAAAGAAAAAAGCAACAGACGCAAACCCCCCCAAAAAAAAAAAAGTTTGAATGGCGCAAGAAGAAAGACCAGAGGCAGAGAGCGAGGATAAATAAGACCTGACACAGAGCCCGAGAAGGGGGAGGAGAGGAAACAAGGAGGGAAAATAGGAGCGAAGCAGAGCCTTAGGAAGGGCGAAGAGAGCTGGGCGTCTCGCTGGAGGATCAAGGGCGAGGGGGCGATAACAGCCTTCATGGTCGGGGAGATCGGGGAATTAGAAAGGAAGAGGAAGGAGAGAGAGAGAGAGGGAGAGAGGGGGAGGGGAGAAGAGATGGGGGACAGGGAGGAAGAGGGGAATTAGAAAGGAAGAGGAGAGGGAGAGGGAGGAGGGGGAAGGGGAGGGGAAAGGGAGCGAGAGGGAATTAGAAGGAAGAGGAGAGGGAGAAGAGAGAGGAAGGAGAGGAGGGGAGGGGGAAAGAAGAAGGGAGGAAGAGGGAATTAGAAAGAGAGAAGGAGAGGGAGAGAAGAGAGAGAGGAGGGAGAGGAGGGAAGGGGAAGAAGGGGGAGGAAGAGGGGAAATTAGAAAGAAGAGGAGAGGGAGATAGATGAGAGAGAGGGAAGGAGGGAGGAGGAAAGAGAGGGGGACAGGAGGGAGAGGGGAATTTAGAATGAAAGGCACAGAGAGGGGGAGGTGAAAAGAGAGGGGGGGCAGGGAGAAGGGGGTGAGAGAGAGAGAGAATGG